CCCCCCCCCCCAAAAAAAAAAAAAAATCATAATATATAAATAAAGATGCAAGCAGCATACATAGAAAAGAAAATATAATGATATATGTTTCTAGCAAAAAGCAATGAAAATATCTTTTTTAATGTTTTCATGAAACTTTTTTGACAATTGCGGGACATTAGTAACAAACAAAAAAATCAACAATTAAACAATTTCTATTCAAAAAGAATCATTTTAAAAATTTTGAGTGCCCCTATCAATATGACAATTAAAAGACGGCCATGTCCAGTGAAAGGGTCAATTACAACTATGGAATATGTAGAAAGTGTCCATTACAACTATGGAATATGTAGAAAGTGTCCATTACAACTATGGAATATGAAGACTACTGTCATACTCAGGTTATAATTTAAAAAATTCAATAAACATTAAACCCAACAATTGTGCAGTATACTATACCATAACATTACTTAAGTTGAATTTCAGGCTATTCTTCATAACAACATTTAAATATATCTACCAGGGGGGATGATAGTTTTCTACCATCCTTTCGTTATAGTTACAAGTCCAAAATGGTACACGTTTCATTTTACGCTCAGTTAGCTGTACTGTACACTTACTACCGTTTACTAATAATAATATACTATATAAACTTTAACAATGAGACCTGTAAAATTATGGATAAGGAAGACGACTTTTTAGGAATTATTAGTGGAAAAGGAGTTGTTATAAAGGAAATAGTTTTACCAGTATTATGAAAATTAAAAATCAACGTATCAACTGAAAAAGGTCTATGTACACTGTACACTGGAAATTTTATGCATTTCATGTTCATTGGACTTTTTAAATTAATAACTTTTGCTTAAAAGTCGTCTTCCTATTTCACAGTTTCATACAGGGTGTCCCACGAAACATGAAAGTTAGTTAATAGTTTAAAATGTCTTCTTCCATAATTAGTTAAGAGAATGATAAAAAATATTGTATGCCAATTATCTTATTGCAAAATTGATTTCGGAGTAAAACCTATTTGAGAAAAAGATGTTTTTAACAAAATGACAGGCAAAATGTCTTTAATATCCAATATAATATAAGGAAGAAGACATTCAAAACAATTCAACAACTGTCATGTTTCCTGGGACACCCTGTAGGTTTCACTGTACAGGTTGTTAAGTTTAATGGGACAAATTGCAAGTTTTGGAATGTTTGACCTTGAATTTTCGTATCTTCAAAGGTTAGAGCAATAATAAAACAAGTTTTAAGAAGCATAATATGAATAAGCGTATCCTCATGCAAGAAAGAATACAATTTCTCCTTTAGTTCGTACTTTATTAACTAAACAATGAAGCTCTGTGCTCATATAAGTAAATACATTATAGAGCGGGATTAGTGTTGTTATACATAATACAACATTTTGTTGCAGGGTTCATGTTTTATAGGCAACAAAAAAAGATTAAAATTTAGCAATCAAAATCCAAAAAAAAACGTTTGTGCATAACATCTAACG